TCAGCAATTTCTTTATCCTTAGCTACAAGCTGTCGACTGACATTACATACACTAGGGGTGATGTTAGTTACACACACACACACACACGCATATATATATATATATATATATATATATATATATATATATATACACACACACACACACACACACACACACACACACACACACATATATATATATATATATATATATATATATATATATATATATATATATGTGTGTGTGTGTGTGTGTGTGAGTGTGTGTGTGTGTGTGTGTGTGTGTGTGTACATACGTTTATATTAATATATGCATTCACATATATGTATATATATACATACACACACCGTATGTTTGTATGTCTATGTTATATGTAATTATCACTGTATAACTATATTCAGATGATAAATATGCTTACATTTGGTCGTACCTGCAACATCAAGCAAATAGGTAAAACCTGACGACGCACGAACCCCGCAAAGTTTACAAAAATAAAAATGTTTACTAAGAAATGTTCTATCCTACGTGGAAAATGTTTATACGTTTTCCTAATTTGATAGAACAGTTCATAAAAACCATGAATCATCACTTTTTTTAATGTTCAATTTTACTAAGATCTAGATCAAGGCCACTTCACAACCTGCTGGCAGCGAACCGACATGGCAGTAAAGTGGCGCTTGGCAGCGAATCAGTGTGGCAGTAAAGTGCTTCCTGATAATCAAGGGGTTAACGTAGTTCAATCAAATATTGATCAGAAAGTCGGAATTTAATCGAATCCGTCGAATACACCTCTTTCGCTTTGGAGTTCTGGAACACAAAAATATAGATTGATGAAACAGTTCTACACTGTATTGTATATTGTATATTATTCTTATACCATTGGAAGATCGATTAATTAATTCAAAATACATGACAATTCGAAAAGAACGCAGATGCTGAAATTTGTAATTGTTGCTTCCGTGTTTTCGCTTGCGTGCACTTTTTGAACTCGATTGATCTTTACGCGTTTAACTATAAAACAAACAATTTAATTTACTGATTACGACAAAAAACATCTACCATCGTTCAGGAGGACCAGCTCAGACTCATTAATCAACTACTTGCTCACCAGGGCCGTCGCGACGGGGGGGGGGGGGGGTGACACCCCCTGAAAAAAGCATCTGTCGGCAAATGAAACCTTAAGCCTGCATTTTTTCGGCAAATTGGTAAATTTTGACAATTTCTGCTGCTAATTAGTCGGCGCTCTCTACGGATGGTTCACAGAACATAGTTATTATGTGATAAAGTCACCAATGCTCAACGCCCAATGACCACGCCCTTTGTCGGCAAATTTGAAACATTAAACCCCTCCCTGCAATGCTGCCTTCCCGACGGCCCTGTTGCTCACCTCTACCATCTACCCGCAGGTGAGCATAAAAATCACCTAAAATTACTTTATTTTGTGGCAGACTATCCTGAAGAACAAAGAGCTCATCATAGATTATCACTATATCAGGTGGACAATAAACTGAACATAGAGTCAGATACGTGCCATTAATTTTCATTTTGCATGTGGCAAATTCCAAAGTAGAATTAATGGTCACTTCAGTAAAAGGGAGGCTTTGGTGGATGTACATGGCGACTGTACATGGTTTGGAGACAGAAGCCTCCATGTCCTGCACATCCTGGCCAGGGAGACGACTGACAGATTGCGACCTGGCTCGATCGCGAGCCAGGCGAAGTCTTGACAGGAGTCGCCCGGATGGGGAGGTGCGATCCGAAGTGTTTATGCTGGGTTGATGCAGCCATTTCATCGACTAATTTCGTCAGTTGATATACTTTAATGTTTAATTATTCAACGGTTTGTTTGAGTTCAGCAATTTCTTTATCCTTAGCTACAAGCTGTCGACTGACATTACATACACTAGGGGTGATGTTAGTTACTGCTGCATCATAGCACGTATTGTGCTTGTGTGTCAAACTCCACTTTCCTCTTAGCTTCAGTATAACTAACTTCATGTTTTCTCATATATGCTAATGTCTCAGTCTCCTTCTTCAGGCTGCTGTATTCAGCAGAGCCTGACTGATGAGGACCTCCACAGTCAGAACATTAGGAAATCTGACTTGTACATGTGATGGTGTCATGGGCTTCACCACATTTACGGCAAACAAATTTACTTAAGTCTTTATCAATACGTCTTAATGAGATGTATCCGATTTTTTGGCATATATTACAATGCATTGGCTTTTGGATGTAAGGTCTTACTTGGACACGTTCATATCCGGCATTGACCTTTGCTTATTTAAAGCAAAGGTAAAAAAACACACACATTCCCATTCTTCTTGGTCATACAATGAACGTCCACTACGTTTTTTTTTTTTTTTTTTTTTTAAGATTCGCGAAGCAGAGCCTCGCCCGGGCTATGCCTATTTGGGGAGCCCGGTATCCACTACGTCTTGGTCCTTCATGCTCTCGAGAATCTCACTTTCTTCCATCGTCCTCATATCCCTGTGAAAGATTACTCCCTTACAGGTATTTGGACCCATAGGAATAGTTACTTACTTATAGGAATAGTTACTCTTAGATCATGAATTTGCGTCAGCTTAAGTAAATCCTTAATCTGGGAGTTGAATTGTACTTTAACAAGGAGGCTTCCATCTCGCATTTTTTTGACAAAATCAAAATCGCCGTCCACTTGACCATCAAGGACCTTTTTGATGATAAAGGGGTTCACGATCAAAAGCGATTTTCATTCCCGCATTTTACATTCGCGAACCTTGCATTCTCGGTAGGTATTTTGAAAAGAGGTCTTCTAGTTTTGTCATTAATAGTGGTTCCATTGTTCACAGTCGATTTAGTCAGAGAGTGGTCATGAGTCGCCCCTCCTCCTTGAAGAGGAGGGGTAGCCGGGGTATCATTCATCCTGGGTATAGGACCAGGTCCGACCAGGCCGTCTTGAAGGGATCAGAAACTCTTAACTTTTGGTATCAACCTAACAGCAATAGCTAAGAGAGTAAAGCAGTCTTCCGTCCTCTACCCCCAGTGGAAGCCTGGTTGCGTTCTCCGGTACCACAGAGGTATCGAGTTACGTGAAGGACACTTCCT